AAATATACGCAAGCAAACTTCTATCTTTCTTCATTCTTTTCATCACGCGGATCCCAACTTTGGATCCCTATGAAATAATTGGCTCTTTATCGTGACGAAATTTATTACTTTAATAGCAATCTATACAGGTGGTGCCCATCTTTGTAAATATAGACTTTCGTAGCATTGGTTCAAGAATTTGCTTTGTAACAAAGTTACATACATGCTTTTTCTCATCGAATAACTTTTACAGAAGAAACCGTATAAGACCAAGGCCTCTATTAAAATTACATTACAGATTGATCTCTACATCTCATCTTTTTATATGTTTAACTAAGTCTTAAAGTCCTAAACTCCAAATTTTATAGTTAAAAAGTGAGTGTTATGTTTTTATATTCTATTATGTCTTTGTTGTTTGAACGTCATTTTTATTGGCCGAAATTTAGACTCATGCATTGATGTCAATTTTTAGAAAACTCACTTTTAATTCGTGGTCGGCGGAAATTGAATCTGTGTTTGCTCTAACATCATATTAGAGTCCCTAACCATTACACAAAGACTTTCAAGTCGAGATGATGGTTGAGAATTATATTTTTATATTCTAACATTAAGAGGCGTGTTTGGCAAACGCAAGCGGTACTTAAAGTGTTCCTAGCCTTGTTTTCAACCAAATTGATTTTGTTTTGGACCAGAGAAGAGGTGGTTCAAATGGACCAGAGAAGAGGTGGTTCAAAACATAACATGATTTATGGGCCAAATTTGGCATTGCTAAAACTAGGCTAATTTTGGCCCAGTTTTACCCTAACACAAACTTACTCAAAATGTGAGCAGCTCCAACCTTAACTCCATTTTGAGTAGTTGTCAAAATACATATATGGTTAAGATATAAGGAGTTTGCATTGACAGTTATAAGCAATTAGAATCAGTTCGATATTGTTTTTTTAGGGTGTTTCGGATTATTTTTTCAAGAAGCGCCCAATAATTGTGTTTGATAATTATTTTTGCATGCTTATTAAAACTGTTTCTGCTTTTAAGAAAGTGCTTTAGAAGCAACTTAAGGATGCTTATAGTTTTTATGTTGTTTATGCACAATATATATACCGTTTATCTTTTAACAATAGTCATTAAGTACAGTTCTACTAAACAACTCACCTGCTTTTTTAACAATTATTAATCTTTAATTAATAAAATGTTATTTTTGGTAGCTTAAATAAATTACTTATATAAGCTGTTTTTATAAGCAAACTATTTTGAGAGAATCTTTTTTTTTTAATCAATAATGATGAACATATCTGAGCCTATCAATTTCTTCATTGAACAGGGGACGAGCATGTGACATGTATCCTTAAGCCATGTCCAAAGATGCCGAATGAAATAAACAACTGCTACGACCTCGCTGATTGCCGAATACCTCTATCTGGGCCGTGGGCCCACGTGGAGCCCGCAACTGATGGGGACGCAGGGTCGGGATAGAAAAGAGCCCAGCGCCGACCCGATTCGACCCCTGATTGACCCAACTCAGCAGGCCCCTCCGCCCCCCCCCCACCGGGAGTCATCTTGGGCAAACGGCCGTCGTGGAGCGTCGGCTTCAACGACAAACTCGACCCGGTGGCCGACCCGCGAGCTGACGGGGGGCCGGAGCTTTGGTCCGAGGCGCCGTCGTTTTCCCATTTGTTCCCGGTATTTTCCACGAACCGAAGACCCCCCACGAGAACTAAATCCCAAAAGCCAACAACCATCAAAATACTGCTGAGTGAAGAAGATTTTCTATATTCGTCTCTGCGACTCTCACTTCTGCTGTTAGATTTCCACACAAGGTAAGGATCACTGGATCACTGTTTAAGTGTTTTTTTTCCCTTCTCTCTCTCTCTCTCTATATATATATATTCATTCTGTTCTTCTTCTTGGTTGTGCCTCAGAGCCGAAGCCAAAGGTTCAGCTAGACTTACCGTTCTCCCCTTCCTGAGGTACGAAATCTCTTTACCCAAATCAACGCCTCAATCAACAAGACAGCGCTCTTGTTTTCTTGTAATTTATGAAGCGAATCGATATTGGGTTTTTGTGGCTTTTCTCTTTCATTTTTAATTGAAATGGGATTTCGTTGGGTTCTTGAACAGCGGTTTGGGTTTTTTGTTGATGGGGTTTAGAAATCTCGGGCTGATTTTGGGTTTTCTTTGAATGCCCTTTTCTTGTGTGATTTGGGGTTTGACAGAGTTTCTGTATTAAGAGATTAAGAGCGGAAATTTTCTGAAGCTCACATTGAATCCTCAGGCATATCGACATTTAGCTAAAAACTGACTGTACAATGTGATTAAAAGTTTTGGCTAAAGAATCTAAGAAGCTGTGAATTTGAAAGGGGGGATAAGGAAAATTTTGCATGCATGCATTAAGATAAAAGATCAATTTTGGCTGAAGGGTTGGTCGTATTGTTTCTTGTATTGGTGAGAGGCTAAAAGTTTCCTGTTTTACAAACCAGCATTTGACTTGATCCAAGTTATCATGATCTGAATACTTCCACCATGTTCAACCTCAATCTGAATCATGCCTACATTAATTCATTCCTTTGTAGCGTACAATGAATTAACCATTTTTCCTTGACCAGGTGCACAACAATAGGTGTGTATTGTGTAGAATCAGATACATGAGAATTGACATAAACTAAAAATCAAATATGAAGCACTAAAAAAGTTCAAATGTTCCTCGGCTATCGGTGTTTTCTTTCTGCGATGCAGGCTATTAACTGACTTTACTGCGAGGAAACCATTTTTCTTTACTTTGCAGCATGTAACCATTTTTCCTTGTCATTGTATCCGCATGATGTTGTTGACTATGTAGTGCTCCTAATTGAGTCTCAGATTTGCATTTAGATCATAAGTACGCTAGATTGGCACTCAGCTAAATTCTTTCCGCTGACTCTTTTTGTTTCTCCTAGCATCAAGAAACAACAATATACCTTATTTGAGCGTGAGATCAGACGAGTGGAAGCATCTGTTTTCAAACGTAGCACCGCTTATTTGCGACTTTTAAAGGTTATGAAACAGTTTGAAAGCTGCATGACTTATTAATCATGCCTTCACAATTACAAACTCACAGTGTTCAACAAGAGCACATCTCGGATATGAAATACAAGTCGCCGGTGAAAAGGAGTTCGATACAGTATCAGGCTCAAAGGTTTACAAATGAGAAGGTCTCATCACTTGATGAAGGCAGAACTGTGAGGTTGCAGGACAAAGGTCAACCTTTGAATGTTTCAAAGCAAACCGAACAAACTTCTCCCTTTGAGAATCGTCATAAGCCTTGGCCAAGTAGGAAAGTTAATGGAGCTGACGAGGTGGTCAAATACATGTCTAGTGTTCCAAATTATCTCCAGCACTTGGAGAAGGTAGATGTTGCTCAGGACAAGGCGCTCAACTTTGGAGTTGTGGATTGGGGCCGCCTTGAGAAATGGACGTACCTCCAGAAGCAAGTAACAAATCGACGAGCTGGATGTTCCCCATCTACTAGCAGTTCATCTTCATCGCCATTCTCTAATTCTGGATCATCTTCAAACTCTGATAGAAGCACCGACAGCCCTCTTTCTCAAAGGAAGAAATCGCCAACTTTGACGACTCATCAAGGTTCTCCTCCCAGAGGCCGACAAACTAGAGTGATGGACGAACAAAGTTCTATGCCAGTCACAACAAGTCCTGATTCAAGAACTTCACAAGATAAGGCACCAATTAGGCACGACCACAAAAGAGGCATTGTCAGCGTTTCAGACGCAAAGTATATTTCTCGCAATAAGTCCCCCTCTAAAGAAATTGCCAGTTCTTCTTTCACTTCAAAAGATAATGATATGTCGAAGTTTTCACATAACAGAGTGAAGGATCAAATTGGAAAACCAACAGAACTTGAGAATTCTGAGGAGTGCAAAAAACAAATTGTTCAAAATGATCTGCATTTAGCTGAATCAGAGCTATCAGATCGATTCTCAGTAGTCGAAAGCATGTGGGATGATGTCCAAGAGAGTCTTTATGAAAGGCACATCAGTTATGGTTCTGCGAATAGCAGTAGACGGTCTATAGAAGTAAATCGAAGAAGTATTTCAGGAATCTTTACACCAAGTGACATTCAAATTGCTAATCCGTCTCCACGTATTTCCTACTCATGTCCACTTTCTTCTTCGGGAGGGGAACCCAAGTCTGAAACAGTTAAGCTTGGAAGATTTACAGACGATTTTCCTGGGAAATTGTCAAGTCAAGGTGAAGTAAAAGCAGCAGCTGCACCAAAAAGAGACCTATCACCTCATCGTCTGTTACGAGCTGGTCTGAGTCGGATAAGAAGTTCAAGTTTGAGGGAAGGTTCGGATAATAATCACGATGATTCATCAACCTCTCATAGAAGAGGTAGGCGCAGCTCATCCCCTCAACGTCTGCTAAGTGCTGGTCTGAATCTGTTAAGAAATTCTAGTTCAAGGGAGGGTTGTTCAGATAATTCTCATGAAGATAATGCAAGCTCGAATATTAAAAGTAGGCAAAGCCCATTAAGGAGGATACTTGATCCTCTCAAGTCAAAGAACCAAATCCCTTTTTCTGGGCCAGTTACTAGCTTACCTAGTCATCGTGCACCAGGAGCAAGTAATAGAGATACGATTGCTATTCGGGATGAATTAAGATCAGCAAATGTGGTTGTTAATCATTCCACAAGCCAGATTACTGAGGCTGGATGTTCAGTTCATGCTAAGAAGCAAGTAGCATCCACGAGACAAGCTCTTCTAAAACTTGCTTGGAAGAATGGATTTCCTCTTTTTGTGTTCTCTTCCAGCGATATTAACATTCTTGTGGCCGCATTAGAGAAAAAAACCACACCACAGAATAAGGATTTTGAGTGCATTTACACAATATTTACGGCTCATGAACTAAAGAAGAAAGTTGGTGTTTGGAGTAGCCAAGGAAATAAAAATAAAAAGCATGATTTGGTCTACAATGTTGTTGGCCAGATAAATGTTTCTTCGTCCAAGTCTACCGGTGATTCTTCCAAAAATTACCCTTTGAAGAGAGAGTTTCTCTTGTACGGTTGTGAACAGATATCAACAGCTCATGATCGTGTTAGTTCTCTATTTAGGAATGAGCTTGCAGCTATTGTCATTCAGGTTCAAAACGAAAGGCTAGAAAAGGATAATCACAATAAGCACTCAAAAGAAAGCTTGCCAGTTGAGCAGAAGAACGAGAACTTAAGCTTAGCCAGTGTGGTTGCTATTATTCCGAGTGGGGTTCATGGCACTTCATCAACAGGAGAGCCATCGCCTTTGATTGAGAGATGGAAATCGGGAGGTAGTTGTGACTGTGGAGGTTGGGATGAGGGCTGCATGCTAACTATTCTAACAGACAAGATTCAGGAAAGGAGTTCTACTACTTCAGATGGAACTTTCCGAATTGAATTGTTTGCTCAGGTCCGGCATTCAGGTTGATTATAGTTTTTATTTTTGATAATATTGCTAGTGGTTACTGACAAAAAACATAATCTCATTTCAGGGTGAAACTAAAGAAACCAAGCATGCTTTTAGCATGATTGCTTTCAAAGAGGGAGTTTATACGGTTGATTTTGGGGCATCTATTTCTTCAGCACAAGCATTTGCAATGTGTATCGCAACTCTCCACAGCAAGAATCCCAGTACTATTTCAGGGATGCAATGCTCAGTAAAAGCTCAAAGCTTGGAGGAACACACTGCAACAACCTATGTACCCGGCCATCCTCCTCTTTCTCCTGTTGGGAGAGCTTGACCTGCCTCATGTTTCATTGGAGTCGGCTGAGTTCTAATATCGTCTATTCAAGCTTGGCAGTTTGAGGTATTGATCCTTGCCAAGAGACAGGTACTTGCTTGACTTCATTCTGTTGTATCGGTGCATAAAAATAACCAATAAGCTCCACTTCTTTCCTTCTTTGGAGTAATGTGTTCATCTCAAAATTGTACAAAGCCGGCACAAGCCTTCTCTGAAACCTTGAACGATAATTGTGTACAGACGATCTGTGATAACTCTAGAGTTACAATGCAGCAGTGAATCATTGGGTTGCTAGTTGGTTTTGTTTCTTGTCACAGTCTGCATTGGAAATTAACAGTCCATGTATGAGATCAAATAAGTATGAAATGCATGGTCTTCTTCTATAATCTGTACATAGATGCTACCATCTTGCTACCTAAATTGGGACTTGGAATATTCATTTGGTTGTTTTTACAAAGTTCATAGCCTTCTTTTGCTACCGACACTGAAACATGAGGATCCCCGTTAACACAGAAATAATGGTGTTAGGCATCAAACATAAGAGAAGCATGAAAAAGAGTCTTGAATATCTTTTGTTGTTAGAGGCAGGAGACTACAATGGTTCGAGTAACTTGGTACACAAATTATTCGCTTTCATGCTGTTGGCTATCATTCTGCTCATCAGTAATTATTCTAGCTGTCATTTTTTCAAAATTCAGCACCGAGAAGAGACAACACGGATCTTTGCTTCTATTTCAGTTTCTCTTTCTGTAGCTTTCACAATGGAAAATTTTAACCTGTTTGAACTCGGAGAAACTTTAATATAGCTCTAGCAAATCCTCCTCTGATATATATAAATAATATCATATCCTGTCAACATGAACAGGTTTAAGTCACTCAACTGACATTAGATTAGATTTGACAAGAGACGCCAAACTAGAATAGAGCGGTATCAGCTCCAGCTCCAGTTGATCAAATTCCAATACTAAGAAACTAATTCTATCACACGAATTCCAAATTTTACATGGATTCTATATTTACAAAACCAAATAAGTCGTCGTTCATTGCCTCCCATATTCCTCCTCCAAACAAACCGAGTCTACGATATCAATTGCAGCAACCTTTGAAGAACCGAGCCTTATCACAGCATTATGTATCCTCTTAGGTGGAAGCCCATTCTTCAATGGCACACCATTACTTTCTTTTTCTTCCTGAAGGTCTGCTGGAGGCAAGAAACAGTCCATGCTCAGGCCCTGTATGTTGAAATCTACCTCCTCTACCGTCCAAATCTCCTCCATTTGTGTTCTCACATGTCCATCTGTAGTCTCGCCGAACCTGAACAAGGAAACCGCAGTCCTTCCACTGTGCGCAATCTTAATGCCATCAACATGCCGATAATCTTCAATTAATGATTCCATTGTGGTCTCCCAATACGCACTCTCATTGTTTGCTCCTCTCATTCTGAGGAGATGGGAGTCATCCAATTGCACAAGTAAGCCAGTTCTCTGGCTGAAGTAACCCCAGACGGTATGCCTAATAATCTCTACGCTGCTGCTGCTTCGTGCTCGAAGTGTCTTTGGTTCTGCATCGAGCCTGAGCACAAAGCAGTCCTCACCGTTGATTGCCTTCTCCCCAATGCAGACAGCATTGGAGAATAAGCTTGCAGTGGACCTTGGATCTAGACCCTGTCATCATGAAATTAGGTAAGTCATCTAAACTATAAGATTATTTTCGACTCCTTAGGTACAAGTGGTTGGTGTTGAGGGAGTGGAATTTGTGAACCACATGACAAATAGCTGACTAATTTAAGCTTAATGAGGGCCAGAGGCTAAATTAGGTGCTAACCACTCTCATGTGGCTTGTCCTTGTTTTCACATGGCACCATGTTTGGTGGGTTTTCTTAGTATGGCAAGCTTACCAGTCCTTTTCCTTTCATGTCTTACTATATAAATAGGAAAATAAAAGCATGCTGGTAAAGTTATTTCAGCACCTATCCTTTTCAATTTACCCATTCTATTGAAAAAAGTCAAAAGCCTTATGGAGTTTGGTATCGTGTGAAAACTCTCTCTCCGAGTTCCCGTTGAAACTAGGGAGGATACTAATTTGCGCTTAGCTGGACTGCAACGCTTGAATCTACTACCTTATGATTGCGTTTGTTTTATCAGGATGAACGTGGGGGCAGTGACATGTTCCTTTTCTTCCTATAGTGGATTACCAATTGCAAAAAGCTGTTTCCAAATTATGAGCTAGCACCATCTTCGCTGCTTCAGACCGTCAACATGCAGCATTGACGGGTTACCAATCAATTACGATCCTCATAACATTGATACAAACTGTGTCCTAGAAAGCTTAGGTAGATGCATGTTTTGTCTCAAAGTAATTTTTATTTTTATTTTTATTTTTGGGATCGGGTACGTGAATCCTGTTAGTTCTGTCAGGGTATGTATGTATATATCGTTTACTAATAAGTTAACCATCACCCATATCCTTCTTAATTACTCCCTCCCGATCGAAGTTTGTACCTGAAGGGTTCGACGAAGAGGCCTTGGCGGTCCTCTAGAGGCATGGGACTGTTGCCATTGAGCCTGTCTCCATGCTACCTTGCCGTCGCTCCCAGCGCTGAGTTTGCTTCCAGAAACCACCAGCTCTATACACCACACGTCCGGCTTCTTCTGCCACAACACGAACCCTCCCATCTCACCTCCACCATTTTTCGTTCCCTTCTTGCTACTCGCGTTGCTGATAGTAGCGTTATTGCAGATCTCCGAGGCTGACATACAAACTTTCCCCATCGCATACATGCTGCTCACAGCGCTCAACGCCGCCTTCCCTCCGGCAGCAGCAACGTACTGCTGTACAATGTACTTCGCCATCGACGCCTCCTATTCAGATTCGCTCATAAATTAAGTTAGCTAAGGACAAGGTCGGAAGGAATTTAAACTAGGGTGGGCTGGGGAGCCAGTTAAGACTTACTATTGGATCCTTCTTGATGTGGCCACCGTTGATGGAAGCTTGAGCTTGTTGGACGGGCAGAGGGACTAGCGGAGCTCCGATGACACCGAGCATGAGCTGGAGCTCGGCGCCATGGCCTAACGGAGATGGCGGAGGGTATCGGTGATGGTCTCCGTTGGGCCTTCGCATCCACGACAGCATGCTGCTGCACCCTGCAGTACCCCTGCTGCTCTTTGTGCTGCCGCTTGATGCGAAAGTTTCTTCAGGGATCGGGATTTCCAGCACCGTATCAAGACCATCTTCTCTGTCTAGATTTGGACAGAGCTTCTTCATTGTTTTGTGAAGGGAAGAGAGAGAGAGAGAGAGAGGGAGAGAGTGCAGAGAGTGTGTGTTGGCTTCTCAAAGGGGTTTATAGCTCCATTGTGATTGAGATTCTGATTTGTAACTTCTAGCTTTAATCGTGCTGGCACGCTCTTTTCTTTTCCAACAACTAACATAAGGGTGTGAGTACTTTATTTGTGGAGTTTGAATTTTTTATTTTTTATTTTGCTTTATGATATTTCTCTCTCTCTCTCTCTCTCTCTCTTTAGGAGCGATGATGATTGAGGTCGTCTACATGGGACATTTGGGGCATGAAGTGAACGAAGTGGGTCTTAATAAAATAGCCGTTTGATTTGGCATCATGATGTTTGGTAGGCCCCTTCGGTTGAGAAATTGTCTGCTGTTCTGGCTTCAATACACACTAGTCGTGAACAAACACTTTTTTCGCTAAAGTAACTCTGATTTCAAATGCTACAGTAATTTTTTGAATTGCTACAGTTCCGTCTCTGCTACAGTTTTTTTAAAAAAAACGCTGCAGTGCTCCCGTGTACTGCAGTGACATTTTCAAAAAAATGCTGCAGTATCCAGTTTCCTGTTTACTATAGTAATAATGCTAACGTGAATATTACTGTAGCATTACTGTAGTGAGTTCTCTAATTTGTACAGAGGAGTAGATATAGTATTGATAGGAGAGAGGGAGAGAGATAAATACAGTAGATTTCAGGTAGTGTTAGATACAGTACAAATAGAGCATCAATTTAGGTGGCCCAGAAGCTAGGCCCAGCTGTGTTCTTTCTTGGGATGGAGTAAGCCCAGGCCTTGTTTCCGTGACGACCCGGATCATGTAAACGTTAACTAGCATCAGAGAAGATCTCACGGGCTAAAGACTTTGTCTCGCTGACTCAACAGGGGTGCAGCCTTGCATATTAATTAAAAAAAATTTAAGCTCTAATTAAGAATGGCATCAGGGGTAGCTACTGAAATGTTCATGTTCCCCATCTTTAAATCTATTGATAACAAGCACGAAGCAATTAAAATGGCTAAATATCATAGAACCCCCCTTATCTTTGGATGATTATGAGAAAATCCGCCTTAACTTTAGGGGTTATAAAAAAAACCCCTTAACTTTAAGATTTTATCGGAAAACACCTCTAGTTTAGATTAGGAGTGTTTCCTGATAAAATCTCAATGTTAAAGGGGGTTTTCTGATAAAATCTAAAAGCTATAGGGAGTTTGTCATGATCCCAATACTTAAAACGGGGGGTTTTTCTAATATTTGTCAATTTTGGTGTGGTTTGGGTCCAACTAAAACTATTGTTTTTGTACATTGTAACGTGTTCCTCCATGCATATCAGCTATCTGTTACATGTTCATTCAGATTTAATCCGAAAAATTTTGCACAACTTCAAAAAACGAAAAAACCCCCCAATAAATTCAATATGAGCTACGCCCACCTCAACCTAACCCAAATCCCAAAGAGGAATAATGTCCGAATTGTCTGTTCGACTTTATTTGAAAAATAAAAAGCAGGGAGAAGATGATATAATAATGTAGTCCCCATATTTGCCGATGCAAAAAACATGGTATTTACAACATCACCCCTCCACTTCATTCCACGGCCCTGCACTATAAGCGGGCCAAGCTGTAACCCATACACAGCCCATATCATGTGGTCTCTTTCTCGGATTACAATTTACTAGTCGTGAATACTGTACCAAGCACGACATATCATTTTTGCTATAGTAATTCTAACATTTAAATAGTACAGTAATATTTTTAAAATTTTTGGGTTGTTACAGTTCTCATCTCTGTTATAGTTTTTTAAAAAAGATACAGTATTCCCGTGCGCTATAGTGATATCTTTTCAAAAAATATTACAATATCCGGTTTTCTATTTGCTACAGCAATAATGTTATAATAAATGCTATTGAAACATTTACTGTAGCATAAATAGTGAATCTTGGATTCTCCCAATTGTATAGAGGAGTAGATATATCACGCTTAATATTCCATCAGACTTCAATTACTATTTACTGTCATTTTCTTCATTATTGTTATTACTAGTATTCATCCCGTGCTAAGCACGACATCTTTACCCATTATTTTTGTGCACAATCTTAAACATACTCCGCCTCTTAAGTTTTGTTTGATCTTGAGTCTGACCCAAAGCAATCTATCTTCTTCAATACATGTAAACATATCTACAATATAAGTTTGAAATAGTTTGCCTGCAAAGAATCAATGTATGGCCTTCGTCACCTTTGTTTATCCTAAATGCAGCATATTCCATCATTGTTACATCTTTTCTCTTCTTGTTTGAATTTTCGGACTCTCCCTCAATGGAACGCACAGTCGAATCCATCTTCACCATACGGAATAGTAAAGGATATTGCAATGCCATAAAACTTGTGGTGAAGATCACAATTCTAGACAACCCATTTTGCGGTCATAACAATAATATCCCGCACTGCTATTGCTTTCATCAATGTTTCCCACAATTAAACCAGCTATCTCTGACACAGTGTGCATATTCTGCAATCTTCCATCACCGCTGCGTGATGGTTTAATGCATGCAATCTGTCACTGCCATAACTCATTTTCCTTGCGACCTCGGTCTCTCACCCTACGAAAACTTTGAACCAACATTGCAATGATCTACATCGAAAGTAGATTGCTCTACAATAGCGCATCATCTAATTCTTCAGCACTACCATTAATTGCTGCCACTGTCTTAGATATTCGCTGATCAGTATCCATATATATAAAGTTGACAATATTTTGGAATTTCAACCGGTATAGGTTTAAGGAACCAATCTTATGATGATTTTGGCCATTCAAGCGATAACAATAAGACCCCCTCCATTATTATAAGTATTATCAACTCTTCCTCCAGTCGAGGTGAATGAAAAACAAAGAGTGTGACATCCTTATATTTTGTTTTGAATTTTGTAGATCGTGCTCCTCCAGATGGTGATAAGAGTTGTTTAAGGAATTCTGGCGGTGATGAATTAGCGGGAATTTAACTTTCCCTTTACGACAACATAGTGAGAATGTTGGATTCGTTGGTTTTATGACTTTTCAGCTCTTTCGTCATACCAAAGCATTGCCCTTACAATGTGGACAAGTGAATTTGGAGCGGCGACCGCGTTGAGAATGTCATTAAAAATACCTTCAGACAAAATATCTCTCATTACTATATAGTATAAGTAATACATAGTGATTTAATAATACGATGATTGCAGTCATACCTTCATTTGGCAATATACATTTTACACGTTTAGATTTGTATGATGTATGGGATGATGAACAACTGCCGTCTACGTTTGAGGAAGTAATTGCCTATAATCGTATTTTGATACCTGTTATTCACCATTTGAGAATTACTTTCATACACATTCTGTCGTTGTCGTTGTCTTTTGGAGCGTTTATCTGTTAAAAAAATAATACTCATAAATGTATATATCTATCCACCCCTCGGTATACACACAAACACACACATTAACACACACATAATTTATTGACACATCAAATGAGTTATTTTCACAAAACTATTAAATGCTGTTCAACTTCTTGTGTCAACTTAGATTCAGCAACAGAGGGAACCTGGATCAGATGTTTTGTGTAGGCGTCATGCCACATGACAATTGTGTATATCACTTCCAGATGTGTACAAATAAGGATAACATCCTCAACAGATGACATAGTATAGAATGTGCATTGTCTTGTATTGCATACACCTAACATTGCATCGTTGATGACTTCAGAACAATTAGTATTCGGGTCCTCATCATTGCTCTCTATTATCCTGAAAATAGTATCTATGTGCCACGTGAATGTGTGTATGTATATATATAAGAACATATACACATATCAAATAGACAACACACTTACTAATAAAGCTTTATGGACAATAATAAGATCAAAACCCTCATCATAAAATATACTTTGTTATAAGTTACAGTATAATAGATAAACATACTAAATATATATAGTACTATGATTACTCAGTGTTACAACTTCTAAAACTATAACCACAATTGATAATCATAATCCAATCATCTATGTAAATTAATCAAAATCAACCAAGCATATTCAAATTTAACACAGATGTACATAGAAAAGAGATACGTGTTTCAGTTTTTAAAGCTCATTATAACAACTTAATTCAACACGATAGGTAAAAAAGAATATGAATTTGCTAATACTTACAATGATGATCTCCTCTCCGACAATGAGATATTAATGTGTTTTTGAAACACGATGTTTGCTCTGCATAATAGCTAAAATTAAAGGCAATTAGTTTATATCAAATGATATTATCCATTTTCTCTACAGTACACTTCAAGATTACAGTAATCATCAAGTGTTAGTTATACTTCGATATTCTAACTTTATTTACAATATAAGTTTAAATTTTCAATAATAGTTTAAAT